ATTACCTTCTTGTCTGTTTCCCCAACGACGATATTTTTCTCGTTGTCATCTACGTAATGATTTTTTCTTATATATCGGACAGCAATTACTGAAGAGTCTGTACAAAGTATAGACCTTAGTTTTTTTAAAAACAATGAAATTTTGTTATAATATACATTTTTAAATTTAGTCTCTGTTAGAGCATTTTCCAAAACATTATGCATTAAAATAAATAATCCATGAAAGGAAGATTCTTTTCTTTCTTTGCATAATTTTTCAACAYTAGTGTCTCTTAAACAATCTTCGTTCAAGTTGAGTGAAGAGAAAATAAAGAATTTTACATGTGAGGGACATAGCCGTCTGCTATATTTATCGAGTATTTCAGWAACTTTGAAATACTTTAACGAAGAAATCGACGAATCTATCTCCGTTCTCTGTAAATCGAATATACCATCGAGTTGACCTATTATTAAAACTTCTTTAAGTARTTCTGCAATGTTTGTTTCTTTGCTTAAGTCCACTTCATGTCGAACAATGACCGTTGCTCCATTTTTACGCCACTTAAGGACCAAGTTTTCGTGGTCTTGTATTGACATATTTGAAGCAATGATTAATTTTTTAACTCCTTGCTCGATCATCCACTCGATTAGTATTCTGCCAAAGGTATTGAAACCGTCGATGATGAGGTAGCATTTATCGCTATGTAAGCAAAATTGAGGAATGAAATTGGAGAATTTTCGTTCTTCTTGCAAGTTTACCAAAACCTGTATAAAAATATATTCGTATGATAATTACTAAAAAATCGTTTRGATTAGATAAACAATTAGATATTAGATAAACTTTATAAATAATGAATTACTTTTCCATAACGTTCACAAGCATCCGTGTTTTTCTCTTCTGTTGCTCCCTCCASCTTAATTCTTCGTGATATAATTGAATTTAATGTACCTGCTTGTAGAGCCTTTCTTACCAGTTCCGCTAATACTCTTTTCTTTTCTTGTGGTAACTTAAGAAGGTCTTGTACACAGTAGCTGTATATACTTATGAATCGTATAAAATTAGATAGTGGTAACGGATTGTAACTAGACCTTTTAGAATCGTAAATCATTACCAAATGTTTGAAAGTTTTAACAATGTCCAAACAATTTTCCATATCGTCTAAGATGGAATAGTTTGCAACTACAAAATCTAAACCTTTTCCTTTTGTAATATTTAGAATATAACTTTTATAATTATTAACATTTATAATATGAGTCTGTGGTAAGCTTGGTCGTATTGTCTCGATCACTCGTTTTTCTGCTTCCGTTTYATAAGTAGTGTAAACATCAAAATTATAWWATAAAGATAAATWTATRAGAGCCTGTCCTATRTCACTAGCACCRWAATGWATYAAWACAGTTTTWATTKTWTTWAACCTCCAWKTATYYGAATGYAAAATRMWAAAWGCTGMTAAATAAGCKTGGGGAATYGTTGCAGCATCTTCRAAGCTYAWASTKTCTGGAATAATCCAAGTKAAATCTGGATCKGRTAAAATTTCATTRCTTATAGTKAAATTATCAACTAGTCCCATTACTCTACGACCTTTTTCATCYGTTCCTGAATATTCTGTAATRGATATCTGTGATTCTAGGCTGACGTCATTTTTTAAGCAGTATTCATAAACATTTAGGTCAAATGATGAACATTCTACTTTTACTACTGTTTYATTTTTTTCTTTAATTAATGGTAACTATTCTATCCATATTAATGAACCGGATTTATTAATTTTAGCTTGTTGACGCGAAGAAGAAGTAGTCCTTATTGTCAATGGCATCCATCTGTATGTGCCCCATATCCCATTTGACGCTAAGACGTTTTCAGGAAGATTAAGTTTTATTTGTGATTTATAGAATTCATTYTCAAGTGAAAATTTTGGTGCTTTTTCATCTTGTAAATCAAAAATTTGAAGTTTCTTATACCCCAGTTCTYGKTTTATATCTCGAAGTATCTCAAATATATCATTATCGATAATAGTGTTTACCACAAATATAACATTGTCATATTTCGAGTCTCGTAAATAGACTTTTAACCGATCTAAACAATTTTTTTCTGTCTTTCTATTAACGACAACCGTTTTTCCTATATTTCTTTCTTTATGTAAAAGTAGAGCTATACGACAAGAAGCAATTTTTATTTGTAGGACGACGTTTAATCCTACACTTGTCAATGCAGAAATAGCATTATATTCCTCTTCTGTCTCAATGATTGTCAATAAAAATGATTCTTTACCGAAATTACTGATAAATTTTCTTACGTCGGTATAATGCGCGTTATTTATAATCGTCAAAATAAAATTCTCATTTAATGACTGGTAAAGYAACTCTCTAGCAATTAATTTTACATTRAAGTTTTTCTTCGTCCTTTGTATGGTATTCTCGAGATACTCAAAAATATTCTCATTTTCCTTTTTTGACGCATTCGTTATCAATATCGTTTTGCTACTATTAATTCTAATATTTGTTGAAATTAATCCAAGTACTGCGTTTAATAGGTCGTCAATATCCATCTTTGATTTATTGATGTTTTGGAAAAATCGAAGTTCATCCGTCACAATTTTCCAATTACGGTTTTTAAATATTATTTCTYTAAATTGGATCCCAAATATTGTAATTCCTGGGCATGCTATCACGTTTACACGTTTTTCAAACTTCATCGGTAATGCTACGAAAAAAAATCAGTATAGTCTAAATAGTTTCTTGAATTATCCTTTTAGTAACATAACGTTATTTTTTGCGACAGAATTTATAGACACTATATTTAAATAGATGATTATAGACACATGTATTTTTATATTATAACAAGTTTTATTTACGAGCATATTTGGCGTAGAAACTGTTTTGTGTTCGTTTAAAAAAAAAAAACAAATAAGTCTATCCTTCTTGCCTTTTAATGATTTTTTTTTTAATCAATTGTTTAGTATTTCATATTGTGAAGTATTAATACTAACAAGTTAAAGAATGGCGGTAAAATTAGTACCATTAATAAAACAGATATAAATAATGGATTACCGAAGCATAATTGAAAAAATTATGTAATATTATTTTAATTTTAATTCTTTACTTATAAAGAAATAAAATTTCAAATTTTTTTCTTTTTAGATCYAAAATTCTCTTAAGATCTTATTGAATATATATTTTAATTTTTATTTATGCGATACAGAATTTAAGGAATTAMAAAAATTAAAAGATTAAAGAGCAGTGCTCTTTAAACTTAACATGCAAGATTATGAAAGATAAAGAAGATTTAAATTTTTAATACTTTTGTAAACTCTAGTCATAAGTATGTTTATACAATAATATGTATAAACACTTTATCGCTATTTTCAGTTTCAAAGTACACTTCTTTCGGTAACTTTGTTTTGGCAATTTAAGAATATTATTTGGAAATATTTTCTAAAGCGAAAATGATTAATTACAGTTTAATACAATTTGTTAAATATTATTTTCAATTTGACAATGTATCTTCGAACCGTGTCGATTTAATTACGCACAATACTCTGCGTCTCGGTGTCTTGCACGGCGAGAGAGATGTAACAACTTTTGTTCGAAATGGATTTCGTTATTTCCAATTCAAAGGAGCAAACAATGAGTTCGTTAATAGGTTCATGAGATATTTAGATTTTTGCATATAAATTGTATACTGATATGGATCGATGATATGAAGTATAAGATTAGTACGACTTTTTGTTGAGGATGCTGAGAGTGGACATACGACCGCAAAGGGTTAATAACCACGAATAATTTAATATTAGATTTCAAATGCTTACCATTGCTTTCCTTCATTTTTTCTGTTAATTGTGCCTTGTCAATGACGAGTTTTTCTATCTTTCTCGGTATCAACATATTTTTATTCCTACTGTTAAAGATATGTACTTGAATTAATCCTTCTAGTAATAATCTCCAATCACTGGTCCATTTAAACGTTCCATTAGAACACGATGTAGAAAGTCTGCTTATAATATTGTAAGACTCCTCATATTGGTAACCACGTAAAAGTAGATTCGAGTAAATTTCTTTTTCGGTTAAAATTTCCATCTCTTTTTCTCGTAAAGTTACTTCAGGAATATCATTCTTTTCTGTTTCTGTTAGGCTTATAATTCCAGAAGCAATCATTTTACCTTTGGTTCTTATTTCAAATTTTCCCGAGCCTAGAAATGTATATTATATTAAATAATTAATTCGAAATATTATATGCGATAAAATGGCCATTTTTACCTTTTAATATCGTAATATTAAAGTTCATTTTGCCGTTTCTAGGTACTATTAGTAATTTATGGTTAATAATAATATTCTGGAGCGTTAGGGATTTCTCATCCTTTTTTAATAATAAGTYTAAGTACATATTTGCAAGTAAATTTAAATAAATTGCTGATGGTACGATCACATCGTCATTWATTTGAAAATCTCGTAAAAACTTATATTCGTCTGATTTCAAATTCAAGAGAAACGAGCGTTCTCCAAGTTTTTGCCTCGTTTTTGCTATAGAAGAGCAAACGCGCCTATGAAAAACGAAGAAAAATTATAAAAATTTGTGACATTTACTTAGAAATAATTATTTATGTACTAACCAGTCGGAATTATGTTCCCATAGGACGAGCGAAGAAATCGATGGGGTTCCTGTAGAAACAGGATAAGGAACTTTTGGATATAATTTTCCTGGCTTAATAGGACACCCTAGATTATAAAGCTTTCCTAACGTGGATAAAATTAAAGTTGCATTGTCCTTATGGTCTCGTTTYGTTAATGATAAGTTAATGCAATCGTTGTACAAGGATTTTTTCAGAATTGCCTAAAATAGGGTAGAAATATGATATAAATTTAACTGTAAAATTGAAATAGCTTAAATGTTGTTATTATTATTAGTATATAAACCTGTAAAAGTCCGTGAGGAGAAATTTCAATGGTAATAGTGTTTTTTGGTATTGTTTTTAATACTTCTTCGAATAAAACAGAAGAAAGGAGATTATTTGTATGATATTCCGCTGAGGAAAAGAGAGCATTCGTTGAGTCCCATTCGTTTTTCGGAACGGACGTGCTTATCCAACGTTTACTACGTTTTTTTGGTCGAGGAATAACTTTCTTTAAATAATCCAACAATTTAGGACCAGCTGGGGAAATGTAACGACTATGGTAAGCAATATTATTAGTTGGCACGGTTTTAGCAAATATTCCTCTACTCTAAAAACAAAAGGTAATGATATTTAAAAAAAAAAAGCTTATATTATATTACAATTACATAATTGTAGACTTAAAATAATAATTAACCTTGTAAGCATTACCTGTAATTCATTGACAAAAGCATTTATGGATTCGGTAGGTCCACTTATTGTGCAACTATCGGGCCCATTATGACAAGCAACATCAATGTCTTCTGGACAAAGATGTCTAACTTGGTGGTAGCCAAGTCCGATTGCAGCCATCGTTCCATGTATTAAATTGCTCTCTACCGATGCCAAACCTCGTGAGAGAGCGCATAAAATCATTTCCTCAGCGGAAAAGCAACCATCAGCGTAAGAACAACCAAGCTCACCGACAGAGTGTCCAATCATGTAATTTGGTCGCACGCCAACGGCGTATAAAATATCTACCAAACCGATCTAAAAATGATTATTACAAATAAGCCTAAATAAACACCGTAAACTTTAAAAGCTATCAAAGATAATAAATATACTTGTATAGCTGCGATTCCCAGAAAACAATGTATAATATTGTCGTATATTTTTGGATCTTTGTCGCATATTATATGTATAATGTCGTAACCTCGAGGTCTTAAAATTTCATCACATTTTTTGATTGCTTCAGCAAAGATTGGTATCTTCATTAGCGATTCACCTAAAGTTACAAATTCTTTATATAGGATCTAACATCTTTTTCGTTATTTCTGTGTATGTATCAATGTAACTTTATTAATACCCATTCCAGTCCATTGCGAGCCCATCCCCGAAAATACGAACCAGATCTGTCGGGATTCRTCTTTAATCRGCTCTATCGATTGTTCTGAATTATCTTCTTCAAATTCAGGAATTACTATATATCCAGAATACAGAGAATGCATAAATGGTTTCTCGGTAATGTCATTTATTAATTGAGCCAGTTCGTCATCTCCTTTGTTCTGCTTCAACTAAGRATACAATATGATATAACTATGTAGTCATACATATTCAGTAMTTGGTCGTAAATCGGAAAAGTTCTTACGACGTTAAAGATCGATGATATCATCTCCTCATTTCTACAAGAAATTACATATAGTCGAGGCATATTATAGRAYGAACGGTCTCTCTTTAGTTTCTCTTTGAAATGACGTTTTAGGATAATGTGAGAAAAGAAACCGTTTATAGAGGYTGTGTTTACAGCAGCATAAGCGCCCGTCCAAGGTACCGATTCTGTAACAACTTTTACGCGTCCGTCCTGAAGACATTTCGCATCTTCCGGAGGCTCGTCGTAATGAAGATTCGGAGGTATAACTCCTGTCTCCATAGCAATAAGTACCTRTAAATTGACAGAACATTAGTACTTTAAACTTAAGTATATATAATAACACTTATATCGGATAATTTACCTTTATGATCGAATTCATTGTATTATTATTAAATGTATGACCAATGTTTGATTTAACCGATCCTATTAGAAGAGGATCAGATGGACTTCGATTTTCACCATATACTAGATCTATTGCCTTTATTTCTTCGCGATCCATCAATTTGATCGCCGTACCATCGGCTTCGATGTAACTTACGTCACTTGGTTTTACGTCGCAATCTATTAAAGTTTTCTCCATAATTTCAGCCTGAAATTTTGCTGTTGGATATAAACAATTTTTTTCTTCTATTGATTCGCCATACAATGCAATAGTATTAACAATTTCGCTGTATATCCGTTTAGCATTTTTAGCTCTTTGCATRATAAATGCTCCCAACGACTCACTCCTTGTAAATCCATTAGCTTTTATGTCGAAAGAGCGATTAAAACCATCTTCAGACAATAACCCTACGAATTTTATTTCTATTATTTTATCTATTTTTATTTTAAATAAAACATTAAGCTTGCTGTGTGTGTTTAGATTTTGAATAAAAACATTTAAAAGATCCTAATTTGTAAAGAATAATTGTCTGTATGCAAAACAATATTTTGATTTTACCTAATTCAGACATGCTGTAAGACGTTTGTGGATATAAAATTATGCATCCACTAATAACAATTGCAAAATCGCAAATTTTAGCATTAAGAGCTTCGTAGGCTTTTTGAATAGCTACTCCGCTGGATGCGCAAGTGGCATCGATCGTGCAACTAGAGCCGATTAAACCAATGGAAAAAGATATTCGGTTTGAAAACATAGCTCGGCTGCTTCCAGAAATCGTAAGACCATTTTGCTATAAAATTAAATAAATGTGACGATATTTATATATAGGTTACTATTTATTCAATTTACCAGTTTATTCTCGTAGAAGAGAGATAAATCTGACTCGGAAAAAGTCAATGCTCCGTAAACATTCGTTTTCGTGTTCTTTAGTTCGACAGGATTAATCCCAGCATCAGTGATCGCTTCGAACGCAACTTCCATTGCCAGTCTTGATGTCGGATCAATAAATTCTGCTTGTCTTGCATTGATTCCAAAACAAATATTATCAAACTTTGTTATTTGTGACATCGTTCCGATACGCGTTGGAATTTTAGCGTCATCTAAAAATAATTATTTAATCGATGAATCAAAAAAGTTTATTTATATTTAAAATTACTTTCTGCAAACAACTACATTCATTTATACTCACTATATGTCCATCTCGTGTTATCTGATGAAACGCAATCTTTTCCATTCATTAGATTATCTATTAAATCACTTATATTATCACTTTTAGGAAATCTACCAGATATTCCAGAAATGACCACTGAACTATCTCCCAATATTCTACTAGATTCCATATTTGTTAATTTATCTATACGAGCGAAGCTATCAACTACAACTTTGTTTGTAAAATGAAGATTCCTATTGTAGTCTGCTGTTTATATAGAGTAACAGATATTTCTAATTAGAATAACTATATACGCAATTCGTTTTTGCAATTTAAATCCGTTTAGTAAGCACTAAGCTACATTGTCATCGAACTAATACAAGACACATATCACTCCAAATGCTTCTGATGACCTGTGACTTTAACTTCCTTTCTTTTTTCGCATGTAATTCTTTCAAATTGACGTAAATAACAAAACACTGTTATATAAGATAGATCATTTAGAAATACCTATCGAACATTTCTAATAAAAAATTAAAGTTTTTAAATATAACGATAGATTAAGATTTTAAATTATTGAGAATCATAAAATRGCAAATAATATAGAAATAAAAATTTTACAATTTTTTTTTAATCCTTTATCAATTTAAATCACTTTGTAATTTAATCGATAAGTGTAAATGTTGAGATTAGAGGT